GATTAGTACAGTGACAGTGTATAGTATAATCACTGATCACTGCGTTACTGTCACTGGTGATGTCCGTGGCAGTTAGTCTCCCCCAGTGTCAGTTAGTGTCAGATTGCCCGTTGCAGTATCACAGTCACATTATAAGTTACTGATCACTGCCAGTTGTAAAATAATAAAGGAAATAAAATTCCAGTATATATACCATGCTTTCACACAAGCCAATTTACATTTATTGGGAATTTTTTTTATCAAAGACTTGTAGCAGAATACATTTTAGCCAAAATGTATGAAGAAATTAGATTTTTCTAAATTTTATTGGATATGTTTTGTAGCAGAAAGTAAAAAAAAAAAGTTTTTTTTCAAAATGTTTGGTCTTTTTTTGTTTATATCACAGAAAATAGAAAAAAACCCAGTTGTGATCAAATACCATCAAAAGATGAAACAAAATGTATATAAATTTCATTTGGGTACATCGTTGCATGACTGCGCAATTACCAGTTTAAGTAGCGCAGTGCTAAGTTGTAAACAATGGCCTGGTCAAGATGGGGGTAAAATCATCAGGAGCTTAATTGGTTAAAGGGAAGATGAAAAATAACATCAGGTTAACAGTTTAAAAAATTAAGTTACGGGGACCCAGAAACAATAGACTACTGTGTTAATGCTAGTTTGAGACTACATCATAGAAGTCATTTTTTATTTAGCCTTTAGTACCACTTTAAATAGTACAACAAAGCATCTACCAGTATGTCATTTAAAAAGTAGACAGATGATTTACTAATACAGACTAAAGAGTCTTCTGTACACTGACAGCAATTCATTGTAAGTTAATAAGTGTCTTAAAATCATAAACAAATAAAACATTACATGCACATGATTATTTCTACATTGCTATCACAATAATAGTAGAGAATAATCCATGTGCATGTCATCCCCCTTTTGATCCCACAGGCACCTGTAGTACCACATCAGCCAGAAAGCTTCATCATGGCTAATGTAGAATTACAAATCCTATTGGTGTGTGTGGGTATACAGATAGATGTACAGTATATGTAGATATGTTGCTCAACATTGCCCTCTTTTCTCAGTTTATGGTACTGCAGCTTCATTCTCTCAAAGCAAGGGATTGCGTTGCTGTCATTTATAGTCTGCAAACACTGTATTATTCTTTTATAGGTTAGTGACTGAAGAACAATACACAAAATAGCTCTTAACTCACATTATGATCTTCATTTCTTTACGCTAAGGTAGAGTAGTTCTGAAGATCTACCTTAAAGTGGTTGTAAACCTCAGACATTAAATATGAACAAAGCATATCCCTATATAGTGTGTACTTGTCTCAATCCAGAGCACTAAGTGTCATTTCTGTCTGCTGCTTTATTCATCTGCTATCTGCATTAATCACTTTTGACAAGTTTTCCTGACATCAAGAGAAAAATGGTGACAGGGGAGGGACCTCCAGCAGACGGACAGCCTCAACTCTCTTCATATGTGCTGTGTAAAGGGGGGGGGGAACGTACCCCTTCCTTCCAATCAACTGTCAGAGCTCTCCTCACTTAGCTCTGCAGAGTGTAACTTCAGCTGTCTGCCCCCTTTTTTCTGGAAGCTCAAACAAGCGTTATCATTTCTGGACTTTGAATGGATGTAGAGAAGATAAGACTGTAGATAGACAGGTACCCCTTCCTTCCAATCAACTCTCAGAGCTCTCTTCACTGAGCTCTGCAGAGTGTAACTTCAGCTGTCTGCCCCCTTTTTTCTGGAAGCTCAAAAAAGCATTATCATTTCTGGACTTTGAATGGATGTAGAGAAGATAAGACTGTAGATAGACAGGTACCCCTTTCTTCCAATCAACTGTCAGAGCTCTCCTCACTGAGCTCTGCATAGTGTAACTTCAGCTGTCCGCCCCCTTTTTTCTGGAAGCTCAAAAAAGCTTTATCATTTCTGGACTTTGGATGTAGAGAAGAGAAGCTAGATAGGTACAGCCTACAGTATGTAGGAGGATTTGTTTTATCTCTCTGTATCACCTGAGTCCAGTCACTTTACTGGGTATACAACTGCTTTAAAGTTTGCAGCCAAGCCTGAAAAGCAAGTCAGAATACCTGATCTATATCTGTTTTCCAGGTTAACAGGAGCTTGCCACCAATGAGGCAAAGGGAGGTGAACGCCTCAGGTGGCATTTCGTTGGGTGAAGCAGTACTGAGGATGGAGTATCCAGACCAGACACTTCGTCCTCACTGAAGCTTAGTGACAACTGTGACTATCGTGGCGTCAGACCCGCAGTCCTTCTCACCAACTTGTGACCGAAGGACTAGCCAATCTAAAACCACACTGTCACGTGCGTAACAATACCACGCTTAGCTGCACCCTGCACAAAGATTTTCCAGCTAATGGATCACAATCTATGTACCTGTAGCCTGAGAGCAATTGTTACTGGGTCAGGTTAATTACGCAATTAACCCTTCACATTGCCACCACCACCTTTTTGTAGAGAAAAGGAGGAAACTCTCCAATATTAGCAATAACACTATGATGTTTGAATAAGCGTCTGTATACACACTGTCACCGCAGGCAGAGATATACAGAAATTTTAAAACACACAGTAGCGCTCCTCAGAGACAGGGATTCTTAGTTTGCATTAAAAAGCTTTAGAAACAGTTCAAAACTTTTCAAAAAATAAGATTTATTACTAAAAAGGTCAAAATGGTGCAATAAAAGTATTTACAGAAAAAGATGTAGCCAATATATATATATATATATAAAATACAGAGAGCAATAACACAGCAAAGAGATAACAGAAAGAAGTTTAGAGAGGTAGAGTACTTGCCAAAAGTCCTGGGTTAAGCAGATCAAGTTTCAGAGCAAAAGGGTACCGTCTCCCAAGTTGGTTCCGCTGTTAAAAGGGAGAATTCTTCAACTTACTGCTCCAAACCTGACAGCCTTTTTCTAGGAACTCAGCAGGGTGTCTCCTTACAGCAGAGAACCAATTGCCTCATTTGGGGAGGGGTGCTGTAGGCGGGGAACTCAGGCTATGACCAAATCCCTCCCAAGTTATACCAGGGTCAATAACCTTCCCTAGGTACATGTAACATTCTATCCACGGGTAGATTAATACGCAGAATCATCTGCTGAATGTCTAGATATCAAACATGCCATAATTTACTATTCCAGCTAGAACTATCTGGCTTTCTGCTCTCCTGTAGACTTCAACTAGGTGTGTAAGATATCAGACGACTCGCATTAAACTGAGCTATCCGAATATATGCTTTATTTTTATGTAATTATTTCCTACCTTAAGATATGAAATTATAGGGAAAAGTAGGTTTTAAATGTGAGGCCTGTTTTACGGCTACCTAGGAATGCGTTTGAAGCCCAGTGAAGGACTGGTTTATGGTTTTACGATTATCTCAGATTGAGAAGCTAACAGACACCCGGGCACCAGCTAATTTGGGATTTATAACCATGAAGCTGTCCCGCAGTGCCTGATTGCCTGTGCACTTCTAAACCCAGCACACAGGGACCACGTGTCACTCATCAGAGAGGGAGGGGGGAAGCTGATTTGGAGTAGAAATGATACAAGATGGAGGGCCTTTGGCAAAATGGAGGTTCACATCCATCCCTGTATGTACAATTGCTACAATGACGTCCTGTATACACAGGGCAGAATTACTAAGCTGTTTGCTAGACACTGGCATATGAGCCACACAGCATCATTGGTTGTTAAGGTGCAAACAACTGCGGCCATTGACACTGTACAATCCAGCTGCCTGCGTCCCGGCAACCCATGATGCACAACATTATTGGTTACCCTGTGGGAGAGGAACGCAAAGAATGGCCACCTTGGGTAACAACACCACACTCCTGCTGGTAAATGGATCAGTATTAACGCTAGAGGGAGCAAAGAGAAATATGTGGTACTTTTGGGTATGAGGAGCATGTGACATACCCTCACAATTCCCATGTGATAGCTATGGTGCTTGGTGATTGGCTACTGTGGGAAGAGAGTGTAGTTGGTGGACCTTGCACAGAACTTCTCTTCACTCCTGCTGGCTGAACAGAAGAGCAAACAGAAATTGAGTGTGTGTATCTGGTAAAGGTCCATTTTGATCTGTATCAATGTCTAAAGAGAGAGGAAAATGACTGGAACGAAAGTCCTAGCCTGTGTTCTTCTGTTAATTCAGGCAGTTTTGCATTAAAGGGGGTTTATATGCTTGGACATTTAGTCATTTTTCCTTTTTTAACATTTCCTACTTGGAAGACAGTGACTGGGAACGGATGCTTGTTTGTGATGGTTTAAACCTGGAAAAGGCTTGAGGAAGTGCATGTCAGACAAGAATGTCTTAATGGATTTGTCCCTGGAGCTGAATTTGAAAGGGGAAATTCCTGTCCCAATAAGCCAGTATATGATAATTAGAAGATTACAGGTAATTGAACTTGTCTCATGCAATGTCATCCTAGAACAATGCAAATATTTCCGAGGAAGTACTTTTATAGAGAAACCCAGGTTTACGCAAAGGTGTTTTTTATAGCCTGTAATGGCTGAGTTGTTTATAACTTTAAGAGATAAGTTAAAAAAGTAGTGACATGCTCATACCACTTCCGAAGAAAAAGGAAAAAAAAGTGTGCATTAATAAAGTAAAACCAGGTGGCTGTCACATTGTAAATAGAAAAAAGAAATGCCCAGCGGACTTTACTGAGTCATGTTTAAAGAGTTAAAAACATTACATTTTATCCAAAAGGAAATATATAAAATCATTGAAAACAGACATATAAATCATGATCAACAAACACAGTACATTTGTATATAAAATACAATTTGAGATGAAAAAACATTCAACATGATTACTACATTGACATTAATCAAGATCTTGTACCAATCTCAACGTGTTTTGTGAAACAACATTCACTTTTTGAGGAGACATAAATAGTCATAGGTACAGCATCTATAGAGAGACCAGGTCATTTGTAGGAAAATGCCAAAAAATAAAAAGAAGGGGAAATGCACAAAATGACAGTCAACCAGTGGCGGACTGACAACTCATGGGGCCCCCGTGCAATAGGGGATCATGGGGCCCCTGTGTCCTTGCCCAAACTCAAAAAAGCCTATGAAAAAGGTACCAGGGGCATCTCATGGGGCCCCCTACTGACCCCGGGCCCTCGGGCAGTGCCCGAGTTTCCAAATGGTCAGTCTGTCCCTGCAGTCAACCCATCAATCCCATGTCAAAAAAGTTAAAGTGCACAGTCCACATGTGTTTATTTGCTGCTTCTCTTCAAACAGGTAACATAAACTTTATTATAGAGAAAAGACATAGAGTTCTATCATAGATGCAGCTACAAATGTATAAATACTACATATGAAGAAAGGAACGAGCGCTGGATATGACAGGACTCAAGCTGCTAGCATAAAGGTAAACCTCGTATACCCCCTTCATCAAAAGTCAAATACAAAAAGTTGCAGCGCTTGAGTGTATAATACAGGGAATTAACATGAATAGCAGACTTAAACATTCATATTTTGACATGCACCAGATCCCACACTCTTAAATTGATGTAAACAGTAATCAGATAAGTAATGCAGATCTATCCGACTAATCAAGGTGCCTATAGTGATAGGGATGTTAAAGTCATAAGTTCTGTGATGTATCCAAACAAATCCGTGACTTCCGTGATAGGGGAATAACTGTATAATGCACTAACCAGATAGCGCAAGTAAATGCGCATTGGAGTATAATGACCTACTCCTGGTCACAGCCAGATGGTCCTCAGCGTGAAGCCCTCAGGAACACCAGTGCACCACTCTTGCCGTCTCCTACCACCAGGGGGAGTGCGCCTCCTTACAGTAACACGAAATCACTTTATATCCTCTATCGCCAGGATTGGTGTGCTTTCATATCAGGAGATCATCTCAGGGGCTCGGCAATAAGACCCAAAAGAAAGAAATCTTGATAGTGTAGTATTTTTATTCAAAGGTAAAAAGTAAGTAATACACTTACATGGTAATATCCAACAAAAGCTGATGCATAGAATCCAGAAAGATGGCCGACAGTCAGATGCATGAAACAAGTGGATGATCAATGGTATGAGAGAGGTGTCCTTATCCCTAACGCGTTTCGTTACCTTTGATAATGTGCCATTGCCACGAAACGCGTTAGAGATAAGGACACCTCTCATACCATTGATCATCCACTTGTTTCATGCATCTGACTGTCGGCCATCTTTCTGGATTCTATGCATCAGCTTTTGTTGGATATTACCATGTAAGTGTATTACTTACATTTTACCTTTGAATAAAAATACTACACTATCAAGATTTCTTTCTTTTGGGTCTTATTGCCGAGCCCCTGAGATGATCTCCTGATATGAAAGCACACCAATCCTGGCGATAGAGGATATAAAGTGATTTCGTGTTACTGTAAGGAGGCGCACTCCCCCTGGTGGTAGGAGACGGCAAGAGTGGTGCACTGGTGTTCCTGAGGGCTTCATGCTGAGGACCATCTGGCTGTGACCAGGAGTAGGTCATTATACTCCAATGCGCATTTACTTGCGCTATCTGGTTAGTGCATTATACAGTTATTCCCCTATCACGGAAGTCACGGATTTGTTTGGATACATCACAGAACTTATGACTTTAACATCTCCATCACTATAGGCACCTTGATTAGTCGGATAGATCTGCATTACTTATCTGATTACTGTTTACATCAATTTAAGAGTGTGGGATCTGGTGCATGTCAAAATATGAATGTTTAAGTCTGCTATTCATGTTAATTCCCTGTATTATACACTCAAGCGCTGCAACTTTTTGTATTTGACTTGTATAAATACTACCATTGACTGGCTGAAGAGCATATCTCTACTGCACACTAAAGTAGTTTATTTATTTATTTCAGGTACTTATATAGCGCCATCAATTTACGCAGTGGTTTACATATATATTGTACATTCACATCAGTCCCTAACCCTCAAGGGGTGTACAATCTAAGGTCTCTAACTCACATTCATACATACACATACTAGGGCCAATTTAGACAGGAGCCAATTCACCTACCAGCATGTCTTTGGAGTGTGGGAGGAAACTGGAGTACCCAGAGGAAACCCATGCAGGCACAGGGAGAACATGCAAACTCAAAGATAGGTGGTGCCGTGATTGGGATTCGAACCAATGACCCTAGTAGTTGTTGCAAAATACATGAACACAGTATTCCAACAGTTGATCTTATATAGTCGCAGGAAACTGCAGGATATGAAATGCTGGAAAATGAAATTAACTACTTTTTTAAGCATATGTCCAGGTAGCTATTTAATTAAACTAAATAATTAAAGAAAATCAATCAGTGTGTTAGGTTGTATTTCTGCCACGCCTGTGTTTTTGTTTCATCGCATTGCTAGGCAGCAAATATGGTGAAACGTGTAGGATGTCATTTCTATATGGTAGCTGACGAGGCTGCAGTTTCTTACTTTTACTCTCTCTAATTTTGCAATGATTTTGTAATAGTGGGAACTGGATAGACTTGCTCAGACACAGTGATCACATCAATGTTGTGCTAGCTTACAGTAGAGCTGGGTGTGTGATATTAATGCCTCACAGCATAAGCCATAGCATTTCTAGCTCCATATTGTAATAAAAATATTATTTATCTACATCATGTCTTTATTTTGAGACTGCATATTTGACTTCATTATAAAACAGACTTAAAGTAGAACTCCAGGCAAAAAACTTCTTTACTTGTCGCCGAGTTCCTACCTTCACTGAATGTGTCATTCACTTTCTGGTTCACTCAGTAGTTGCCTATTCATTTTCAAATCAAACCATTAAGTCTCTTTGGCTTCCTGTTTGTAAGATGAGTGGCTACTATGCCTCTTATTCCCCCAGCCACTGGCCTTGGCACATCCCTTCTGTAGTTCTTTCTCCAGGAAGCAGTGATGTAATTTAGCCCCACTTGCAGTGGTGGGAGGACCGAGACTCTCAGACACATTCAACATGTACAGGCCTAGTGTACCTGCCCACATTTACTACAATTCCCTGTGGATGATGGGAAGTGTAGTTTCCTTTTACCGCAGAGAGAGGGGAGAGAATATGGTGTAATTCCTGCTGTTACACATATTCCTTGGCAGAACAGATGCTGTTATCTTTCAAATTACATAGATGAAGTCATGAAAATTCAATTAGATGTTTCTCCTAAATTGTAAGGACTTTCAAAATTGCATTAACTGTTTGGTGTTTTTTGTTGGGGGGTGTACTAGTAGGTAATTTTTTTTTTGCCTATCCCAGAGCTCTTCTTTAAGCCATAAAGTGTAATTGTATGTGCAGCCAAAACCTTTTTTTCTTAGTTTTGTATAGAGTTGAGAAGGGTTAGATTTCTACTAACTTCCTGTCTCTCTGAAAATGTTTTACCAGACAGGAAGTGAAGTACAAGGTAAGTTCAGTATGAACTTGTAGAGTAGTCTCTCCAAGCCTAGCTACTGTGGAAACAGCCATCCACTCTGTGGAGTCTTTTTTGTTTTGGACCACCCATGATCATGGCAGCACTGGAATTACCTCAGATCCACTCTTCTTGAAATGTGAAGTCCCAGCATATCCGAGTGCTCCACCAAAGGAACAGAAATGAAAAGGTGACCCTCCTGCAATAAGCCCATATAGAAACCAATAAATTTAAAATGTAATCAAAAGTTGCACCAGTAGACCACATATATATTGTGTTTTGTCAGCTGACCATCAGAAAGTTGATCATGAAGTCACCTGATCAAAAGCAGGACACTAATTCTGATGATAAAAGAGGATTACATTTACTATAGAGAAATCATTCACTTTCTGTTGTGTTTTCAGACAGAAAGATATAAAAAATCTCCACGATAAAAAAAAAAATAGAATTTTTTTAACCATTCTGGATACAACATGTTACAAAGTTACAATATACTGTCTGATAATTGGGGTGAGAGGAGACTGAGGAAATTCTCCTCCTGCCTGCAGTAGACAGATAACATCTCAGCCTAGGCATAGTCACTGGTCAAGAGGTCAAGCACAACTTTTTAATGATTAGGCCTCATGTACACTGGAACGTTTAATTTACTGCCAGCAGAAAAACGCTAAACACATGGCAAAAATGCCTGTAAAAACGGTACTAAGTTTACCAACCTATAGCGCTTGAGCATTTATTAATTTAATTGTCTAGACTACTCATCTAGAAAACTCGTTTGCGCGTATTTTTGCCATTTTTGGACAAAATGTTCCTCTCCTAAACGCAATTCTTCTGTGTTCAGGAGAGGGACGATTAGCTGCCCCTTTAGGGCTCATATAAACTGCAGCTTATAAACTCATGTTCAGGAGCTTTTCTGCGTTTTTTTTCAGCAGCCCCTGAACTCACCCAAATGTTTTCCAATATGTCCATGTACACTATGTTGTTTACAGTCATTTACAGGCATTTGAGTTTACAGTCATTTTTGTGAACGCAGAAAACTTGCATTCAGCAGTCAATTTCCACCAGACACCTGTCCCACCCTTGGAAACAAAAGAAATGTTAATGAGCAACTCACACCTAAGCTAATCTCAACACATACTGCTGTCTCTGCTTCTACTCTCCGTATTTCTCTGAAACTGTCTGAAATAGTTAATAATTTACCACTTTTCAGTGCATTCTGATCATTTGGGAGGTTCTCCTGTGCTTATCTTTAAAAAATGTTTCTAAATGCAAACGCTCATAAACGCGTTATGCAAACGCGACTAAACAGACTTACCTACGTTTTCCAGCAGTCAGTTTCCATCGTTCAGAAGTGTCCCGTGTACATGGGGCCTAACTAACTAAACGTCTATGTGTGCAGGGACACGTAGCCTTTTATTGAGTTGAGTTCAGAAGCTTTGGCAAAAAATCGCAAAAAGCCCCTAAACTCATGTTTAGGAACAGCAGTGTGCATGAGGCCTTAAGGTTTTTGGAAAAATGATGTTGCTGTATATTGTGACATGTCAGAATTTATTCATGCAGGCTTGTAAAGTTACCGAACATAACATTTAACAACGTGTGTTAGCATATGATTTGTCAATTTAAAACCAAGTCATGTTTTTTGTTTTGCTTTTTTTATGAATGGAAATATGACTTATTGTGTCATTGTTGCGTCAACGTCAAAGCATAACTCCCCGTTAACCATGGCTCCACATCATTAAAAGTTTACATTTTGTGAAGTTTGTTTCAGTGATGCAAATGATGGTATACGTAGAAGCTAAGGAGTCATATATATGTGTGGGCAAGTTAATTATTTTCTGGATTTTATGACAATGCAGGAGAAAAACAATGATTAATACTTCATAGCTCGATCAGTGTGTCAGATAACATGAGTCATTCCTTATGAAAGGTGAATGAAACTAAAGAATGCATTATTTCTCTACGAGTGCATTTGTGTATAAAATCTGACTATCCTCAATGATCTCATCATACACTGCACCCTCACTGAATAATGTTGCCATCATGAGGGAAACATGGAGATAACTATTGCATATTGCTCCTTCTGAAATTATGAGTTGTCTGGTTGTGATATTGACTCTCTGGCTTCAATACTTTGAGTCACTCATCAGTAACAGAAATACAGATATAGAAGTCTGACTTTTTCAGGTTGACGCAATTAGATATTAAAGCCAGATGATCAGCACAACATCCAAGAATGAGCATGTGCAGGTCATCCATTTCATTCAACAGTATGCGTTAAAAACAGGAGCTTAGTTTAGCACACATTTGCAAATACATGCGTAAGCTGCAGAGCCTTGTTACTGCATCCCAATATTCTGCAGTTACTAACTCTACAAAGTTTGAGAGCCCCCATAGTAGAGGCACATGTATTTAATAGATAGACCAAGGGCAAGTGGACCTGAGGGAGCCCACCCCTCCTTAACCGTCTCCCGCCCGCCATATAGTACAATGACGGGCGCAAGGCGGTTCTCTCGTTCTGGGAGGACATCATATGATGTCGTCCCATTCTAACTGCGCATGTGCGGCTTCGGGAGCGCGCAGCGTGGCGATCGGTGGTGCGCTGTGTCCCTCGGACACAGCGGATCACCGATCAATGGAAACAGCCGACTCGGTCATGTGATCAGCTGTGTCCAATCACAGCTGATCGCATGTAAATAGGGAAATGCCAGTTATCAGCATTTCTCTCCTCACGAGCTGTCACGCTGACAGCTCGAGAGGAGAGCAGAGCCGGTAATCGGCATCCCTCAGAGGGTACATGTGCACTGATCATCAGGGCACTGATGATCAGTGTAGCCCATCAGTGCCACCTGTCAGTGTCCATCAGTGCCAGCTGTCAGTACTCATCCATGCAACCTGCCAGTGCCAATCAGTGCCACTTCAATGCCACATATCAGTGCCTACCAGTGCACATCAATGCCACATATCATTGCCCATCTGAGCTGCCTTTAAGTGTCACCCATCAGTGCCAGACAGTGCCACCTATAAATGCCATTCAGTGCTGCCTATCAGTGCCATTCAGTGCCGCCTATCAGTGTGCATCAGTGCCGCCTATCAGTGCCGCCTAACAGTGCCACCTAACAGTGCCAGTCAGTGTTACCTAACAATGCCAGTCGGTGCCGCCTATCAGTGCCGCCTTTCAGTGCCCTATATGAGTGCTGCCTTTCAGTGCCCATCAGTGATGCCTGTCAATGCCCATCAGTGCCTCCTCATCAGTGCAGCCTATCAGTGCAGCCTATCAGTGCCCATCACTGCAGCCTCATTAGCGCACATCAGTGAAGAAGAAAAATCACTTATTTTAAAAAAAAATTATTTTTTTATAACAAAAACTAAGAAAAAACTTTTTTTTCCCTAAATTTTCAGTGGTTTTTCATTTGTTTAAGAATAAATAAACAACCCAGAGGTGATTAAATACCATAAAAATAAAGCTCTATCTGTCACAAAAAATGATAAAAATTTCATATCGGTACAGTGCTGCATGACCGCGCAATTGTCTTTCAAAGTGTGACAGCACTGAAAGCTGGAAATTGGCCCTGGAAGGAAGGAGGTATAAGTGCCCTGAAGGCTAGTGGTTAAAGGTACAGGAGCGCACTGGACACCCAGCATGTAGCAGAATGGCAGCCAAGGGGTCCAATGATTCACCAACAATTCAATAGTACAAAAATGGCCTCTGCCCCAGTCTATAACTGGTCTTCACAGCAAGGAGAACATGTAAGGCCAACACGTGTCAAACAACAAAAGAGAAAAATTCCCAGCTGAACCTGCCAACCAGCCTGCAAACAAACCAAATTAACCTGTCCAACAGTATGCATTAAAAGCAGGGGCTTATTTAGCACACATTTGCAAATACATACGTAAGCTGCAGTGCCTCATCACATCAGGTCAATTTGGTTTGTTTATAGGTTGGGTTGGCAAGTTGAGCTGGGAATTTTTCTCCTTTGTTGTTTGACATCCATTTCATTCCCATGTTTTTCTACCATGACAACATTACTTAAAGTAGTGTTAAACCCTCAGCTAATAACTGAACACTCCCTCTAGTTCCATATGCCTCGCTGTATTTGGATATTTTTTTTTTACTTTTTGGCCCCAAATATTTTTTTCATCTGTTTGGAGCCTCACACTGCAGCAGAGATCTTTTAATCTCCCAAGCTGCTTCCCTGAACTTCTCGTCAGGGCGAACGTTCTGTACACATCAGGGAATCGTCACACATCTATCTGCATGTTGCTGTATACATCCCATAGTAGGGAACCAGCTGTCAATCTACATGGTGGTGGGTGAAACAGGGGGTGTGGCTTACAGCTGAGGCCATCTGTGCCACCTCGGGCTATGTCGGCACATGGATCTTCACATAAAGCTATAGTCCCAGTTGGGTGCACATGCTTCAGAGTGGCTACATTGGGCCTTCATAGAGATCCTCCAAGGTAACGTAGCCATGTGTCAATACCAGTATGTGCCTTGGCCACACCTCCTGACATGATCTCTAGACAAAGTCCTCTGTGACGAAACGCGTCACCAGGTGTGGCTGAAGCACGTACTGGTATTGACAGTCTCACAGCTTGCAAGAGGAGTGTTGTGGAGCTGAGTAGAGGTGTAGTGATATGCAGAAGTACCAGGCAGGTGAGAGACTTTGAGAAAACTGGGAGATGTTAATTGTAGTGGCACAGGGGTTGAATCATATTACGCTTGTCATATTGGTGCAGACTGTTGCACAGTGAAATGTCAGTGCATGTAATAGTGGTGTTTTGTTTATGATTTTAAAATTGACATCCATGTGGGTGCGTGCCCCCAAACTCACAATGCCTGCATTCAGGGACATGCAGCCACATCTACATGGATGTCATATTGGGAGCAGTGGCTGTGTCCATGCAGCCATTATGTCCCAGCTGGCATCAATGGGACTGCCTGCACATGGATTTACGGAACACCTGTGTATTCTCTGTGGGCAAACACGGCACTCACATGAGTGTTCACTTGAAGGAATTCTAAAGGTACACTTTTTCTTTTTTAAAAAATAACAAACATGTCCTACTTACCTGCTCTGTGCAGTGGTTTTGCACAGAGCAGCCTGATCCTCCTCCAATGGCTTCTTCTGCTACATCTGAGCCAATAGAGAAGGGGAAAGCCAAGAGAGCCTCTGCTCTTGTGTACATTGCTGGATAAAGATCCAACTGGGTGGGGGCTGCACATAGAAGGTCTTTACCTTTATGCATAGAATGCCTTCTGCCTTTACAACCACTTTAACCTCTTCATGCCTGCTTGGTGGGTGGGCCTTAACGCAGAGAGGCCGCATGTATGCAGCCCTGTGTGAACAACTTACTGTGGTGAGAGCGTGCTCCCAGCATGGTAGCCCCCGTGCTCCCAGCATTGGAAAGCTCCCGATGTGTACTTGCAATCGGTAGCTTTACAGTCATGTGACCGGAAATCACAGCGGTCACATGACCAGAATGCCCACCTCCATCTCCCGGTTTGTAGAAATCCTAAAGGGCCTGGAGGTAGTCAGCAGGAAGGGGTTAAATAAATCCATGTGAACGAGGCCTAAAATAGCGCAGATTCTTTATATATTCAGTACATACACATAATAATAATACAACATATATTACCAGCATATAATGTTTTTAAATCATTACATTTAGGGTTTGCAGTTACTGATTTCACATTTGTGTGGGAGTGTGTTAGAGTGCTGGCAGCGGGTTACTAAACATTCAGATAGGCACTATTATTATTATTAGTAAGTAGTTTACAAGGTTCACATATACTATAGTTTATAAAATTATGGTTTGCAGTTAGCTGCAGCTGTCGGGTGCATATGATTACAATGAAGCTTATGTTTATTTTCACTTTTTGCTAAAATAGTTTTTGAAATGTTATGCTATTTTGTACAATTTTTTTTAAAAAAATAAAAAAAATCTTAGAAAACATAGCACCAAAACACTACAGCTTTAGTGATCATTAATTCTCTTGGCAAGGTTTCTGTCTTTTATTTTTATTGACTTTAGATAAAATATGTAGGTATATGCCCCTAAGAATACAGCTGACAGAACAACTTCATCTGATCTGCCAGTACAGTTAGTTCCCCATTCTCTTGCTGCCTGAACAAGATTTTTGTGCAGTGGTTGCCCTCAAGGGGAGCCTCTCCTTGCTTGATTATATCTAAGAGTTACAGTGAAGGAAATAAGTATTTGATCCCCTGCTGATTTTGAATGTTTGCCCACTCACAAAGAAATGATCAGTCTAAAAATCGAATGGTAGGTGTATTGTAACACTGTGAGACAGAATAGCAACAAAAAATTCAAAACAAATGCATGTCTAACAAATTATGTACTGATTTGTATGTTCATGAGGGAAATAAGTATTTAATCCCCTTCACAAAACATGACTTAGTACTTGGTGGCAGATCCCTTGCTGGCAATCACAGAGGTCAGACGTTTCTTGTAGTTGGCCACCAGGTTTGCACACATCTCAGGAGGGATTTTGGCCCACTCCTCTTGGCAGATCTTCTCCAAGTCATTAAGGTTTGGTGGCTGATGTTTGGTAACTCGAACTTTCAGCTCCCTCCAAAGATTTTCAACTAGTCCTCCTCTGCACCATTCAGATGTTCAGTGGCAAACTTCAGACGGGCCTGGACATGTGCTTTCTTGAGCAGAGGGACCTTGTACGCACTGCAGGATTTCAGTCCTTGTCAGCGTAGTGTGTTACCAATTGTTTTCTTGGTGACTGTGGTCCCAGCTGCCTGGAGATCATTGTCAAGATCCTCACGTGTAGTTCGGTGATGATTCCTCACTGTTCTCATGATCATTGACACTCCATGAAGTGAGATCTTGCATGGTGCACCAGACCTAGGGAGACTGACAGTTGTTTTGTGTTTCTTCCATTTGCGAATTATTGCACCAACTGTTGTCACCTTCTCACCAAGCTGCTTGGCGATAGTTTGGTAGCCCAGTCCAGCCTTGTGTAGGTCTACAATCTTGTCCATGACATCCTTGGACAGCTCTTTGGTCTTTTCCATGGTGAAGAGTTTGGAATCTGATTATTTGATTGCTCCTGTGGACAGGTGTCTTTTATACAGGTAACAAAATGAGATTAGCAGCACTCCCTTTAAGAGATTGCTTCTAATCTTAGCTTGTTATCTGTGTAAAAGACACCTGGTAGCCAGAAATCCTGCTGAATGATAGGGGATCAAATACTTATTGCTCCCATGAATATGCAAATTAGTGCATAATTAGACATGAATTTCTTTTGAATTTTTTGTTGCCATTCTGTCTCTCTGTTACAATACACCTACCATTCGATTTTTAGACTGATCATTTCTTTGTGAGTAGGCAAACATTCAAAATCAGCAGGGGATCAAATACTTACAATATATATAACGATATAAGTTACTTCTCAAATATGATAACCCAGTATGGAGCACTGAAACCCAGGGTTCTCTGTAAAGCAAATTTCGACCAGCTCCTGTTATATGCTCATGCCTGCCCTCTGCAGCTTATTATGCCTCATTAATGCTCAGTGGAGGCCGAGGCCAGCTTGAGCCCTTGACCACAGGAGCTGGTCGTATGCATGAAAGATTGCCCTCAGTTTTGGGGTTCCCAGGAGCTTTAAATATGTAAGTATGTACACTTTTCATGTCTGCTGCTTGTTGATTACTCTTGATTACTCTTTAACATGGCTATTTTAATCACTCCTCTACGAGGCCAATTCTGACATTCCTCTCATACATGTAAAAATCCCAATTTTTTTGCTAGAAAATTACTTTGAACCCCAATACATTATCTCTCTCTCTCCCTCTCTCTCTTTCCATAAATGAATACACCCCAACAGGTTTGTCAGAAAATCTTTACTTTCCTTTCAGAATCACCATTTTCTATGGGACACTATACTACAAAATACTCCCACAAATGCATGTCATTGATTGCAAACAAGATTTGTTACTTTGTACACACAAAATAGTATTTTTCCTAACAAATTCATTCAAGACCATGTTGCAAAAATGAATACACCCCAATGAAAGTCTTAGGAGCAAAGCTAAATTTTAGG